GCAATCACTGATATAGCCGTGCTGGTATCGACCTCTATTAAAATCAGGTGACTATTTAACCAGACATTTATTTTGATTGGTTCTGATTTGGATTTTGCTAAGCAATTTAACTGTTTCAAGCCAGATGTAGGTGAGCTTTCCAGGGTGTGCACTCTGCTGGATACTGGACAATGAGTTCTCTTACTCAATCCAAACCTAGTCTGCATACCTGCAGCAACTACAACGGCTTGCCAGCCTGGATCCTAAAGAAAATTTTAACCGTTTGGCTGAGGCTTGGCTTTGTTTTGGGGTTTTGCTGTGGGCTGACCTAGAGTCCCTCTGTTCAGGATATGTCCTGTGTGAGGCTGTGCAATTGTCTTCACTCAAGTGGTACCCCCCAAACTCAAGTCAACCTGGTAAGGGTGTCCACTTCTGTTGGAATACCCTGTAATTAATCTGCTCCACTTGCCTCATTTTCCAATGACAAAGCTAGTTGTAGTGCCTGTTTGAAGTCTAGTTGAGCTTCAGCTAGTAGGCGCTTTTGCATGGTTACATCATTAATCCCATATACCAAACAAACAGTCTCTCAGCTTCTCATTAAGAGTTAAACCAAAGTGTCAGGCCTCTGCCAGTCGTCTTAATCTTGTCAAACGTCCCAACACGGATTCCCCTGGTTCTCAAACTACTGAGTAAAACCAAAAGCATCTCAGAATTAGAGGAAGCTTTTGGTCATAACATTCCTAACTAAATCCATCAATTCTTGCAAGGTTTTAGTAACTGATGCCTCAGGAAATGTTAAGCTCCTAATAACCAAAAAAGCTACGGGTTCACAAGCTGTCAGGAAAATTAATCATTGTTTTTCCTTTACTCCAATATCATTTGTCCAGAAAAAATAACACATTCTTTCCACAAAATGGGCCCAGTCTTTGATGGCAAGAACGAACAATCCAAGCTTCCCAAAATAACAGCATGCTGCCAGAAATGCTTACTCCAACTCAAACTTGAATGCTTTGAGTCAATTTCTTTAGGAGCGTACTTTTCTGTCATCGCCACTGATATTACTCCACAGAGGTCGGTACCCTGTCACCAAGTCACCCTTTATTTACACATGGTGAGTCCTTAACATCGATCCAGCTCCCTCAGAGCCAGCTCTCAGAGTGAACAGGATGTCTGACAGGATTTCTTGTTCTTATCTGTCTGCCAGGGCTCCCTGGTTGGACCAGATTAACAGCCCCAATCAGGGAACTCATCTTCTATAAGGTCCACACGGCTGACCTCGTTACAATCACTCCATGCTTCACCCTCAAAAGAAGTCGATTCTGCAGCAGATAGGCAATCATATTAAATTTGGCACTTTTGGCAGTGAATATACTAAAATTAATGTGTGGTTGCTGTGTTGGAACATATACCTTTCTCATGCTGGACACATGATGGAAAAGTGAAAATGAGACAGGCTTTGAGAAAATTTTGTTTTGCAACAGGTCATGTGACATATTGAAAAGCTGGTTTAAGTCAGATTGAGACAAAGGAATGGTGCGAGGGCTACATCAAATATAGAACAAATTGGATAATTCTTTAAAGGATCAGCACAGGCAGAATGAGCTGAATTAGCTCTTTCTGTGCTGAAAGATTCAATGATACTCTGTGATCAAAAATAATTGTACACTTTAGTTTCCTGCTCATTTGTGGAATTTGGGATTTGCTGCTAAGACTAGCATTCATTGCTCATCCTCAATTGCCTTGAAGATTCATCAAGAAGAACAAACTTAGATAAAGTTAAAATGTAGTTCCCAGTGGGTATCCTATTTGTGAATACACAGATGTCCTGTCTACTTACAATATCTCTAGTTAGTCTTATGTCCAAGGCTGTTATTATTCAAGATGACACAAGTTTTAATAGTAACCTTCTGCAAATTGCTCCAGTCTTTTGGATGATGAACACTTCTAGTGCCGAATATCTGAATGGAGTTATTCAATTCACAGGATATAGATAACTGAAACATAAGCCAAAAATGGAGGCCAAGAACACGGTGTAGTACATTTCTTGCCCTGCTGTAATTGTTACCAAGGAGAAACAGCTGATAGTTGAAAGGGCTAATCCTGGAGCTGAGTACACCTTCATAAAAAATGAATGAATGAGCCTGTTACTTGGAAGACTAAAACAGGGATTCTACACAGACACATGCAGACAGTGTAAAATTTTTAAAACATTACCGGCCAGGTGGACTGATGTAACAGATAGAAGTGCAACAATGTTTTTGGACAATGATTCATTTCTTGTTGTTTCACATCCCACATAATTATACCAAAGAAATCTTTACCTGCATGTTCCCTATGGTTTAATTTTGTTACAATAATCAGCTTATTTAAGAGTTGGTGATAAGCTTCTGATTTTTGCATTGTGTTCAATAAAGTCTTATTACTCACACTGAATGTTTAAAGATTTCCTCTGCCATCCTTATCAACATTCCTCCCACACTTCAACGCTGATAATTCTGCAAACACTAACCTGGCCACACACTTTACTAAGTGAGACTGCTGGCTTTGCATTTTATGTTTTACTTTTGCTGCAGCTGATCTTAGAGCCATGTGAGAAGTCACTGCATTATAGATAACAGATGCTGCAATAATCATCTCTTCATTGACAACATTTAGCTCTCTGGTTTGATTGACACTGTGGAAAATAAAGCTGACAGACAGGATTTAGCATTGTTCCAATTTGCAGTAGTTTCTGGGCGATACTCCCTGAAGCTCAGTGCCAGAATTCAATTCAGCCTAAGAGAGTAGCAAGCCACTTAGTGCTCTGATTTGCCAGAAGATGAGTAGAAACAGATTGGATGCAAATCCCTGGCAAATTCTCTATCCAAGCTGGATACTCCCTGATGTCTTTCATGTGCACATCCCATGTGTGTGCCGTATTATGCAGATTGATAGCTAAACCATCTGGGATGTTTAAATCTCAAGATATATTTCAGAAGATGCTTTTATCAGCTGTATATTGCTCAGCATTATAACCTACTCTATAATATCATCAACTGGCTTTATAATCTACTTTAGAACATATATTGGCTGCTTATCACACTGGGTGGAATTTTGTCCTCCCTTGGTGTGACCTGACTAATGGCAACAAAGACAGAAAATAAAGAATGAAAACAATCAGAATCTCAACACTTTTTGTGATTTTCCCTGTAAGTGTTAAATAGCAACTTCAGAAATTCGCCACTGAGCAGTGACTACCTTATTTCCATGCTTTTTATTTATTAATAACACAAATCACCTAATTTCAACGGCACTTCAAATTCTCCACCCTTTCTGTTAGAAACTAGACGACACAAATTCCGAATATGTAAATCAGAGCAGGTAGATAGGGATTGCAGTTCACAGATTGTTTGTTTCAGCTATTAACTAACTGTTACTTCAATGTCCCTGCATTTTCCACAGTCAGCATGCTCCTCGATCTTCTGTCTATGCAAGTGTCACTGGCAAGCAAACAGCCTTACCCACCATCATGCTGCCTTTCAGTCCAACTCACACATCACTCAGCCTTTCAACACTTTAGTTCTGAGTTCAGGGTCTCCTGGGACTTGCCTGCTTATGCCAGGGACACAAATGCATCTCACACATCTGTACAGGATGCATCTTATAGCTCTTTGCTTGCTTTCTAAGTGCTCAATCACTTTGCACTTACTTAGAGCCTGCCAGCTTTTATATACTTCACACTGGTTTCTTTGTACACACTCACTGACTTACAGGCTGACAGCCTGCAAGGCTTTTTACCAGATAGGGTCTTTGATGCTCAGTTACAGTGCTTCAATGCTAGATACAGAGACAGGCAGCTTGTCATAGTGGGGAGCACCTAACAGTCAAGGGCATGAACATGTCACTGAGTGGTACTGTGCTATGTGAGCATTATACCCACTGCAGTTCATGCAGAAAACATGCATTTCAAGCAAATGACCATGTGTGAGGGTCAAAGATGAGCAGTCCTCAGTGGAGTAACAGGGTACAGTTAGTCACAGGATACAGCAATGGTAAGTCAAGGGACTCATCTAATTCCAGGAGATTAGCCATTGACAATCAGGTGCTTGGTCTTACCAGAGTCTGGGGATCCACATCCTTGCAGTCCTGGGATTGGGCCATAATTAGTTCTGGTAGTATAGTGCAATCAGTCTGGGGATACAGGTACTGAGTCAGGGTGCTATAGTGAGAGTAGACTGACAGGTAGGCCAGAATCAGTTGAGGATGAACTGCCAAGTCAGTCCAGATAGAGGAGAGCCATGGTCACTCCTGGGGGTTTGGTCAGTAATGGTTGGTGTGCAGTCCCTGATTTCCTGAGAGGTGTGGAACTTTGGAGATGGGCTTCATCAGGGAGGGCATGGTTACTGTGATGGAGAGCAACTATAGATAGAAAGTTCAGACCTCTTGGAAAACAGGAAGGGACCGGAAGAGAGTAAGGCAAGTTGTCACAGATCATGGTCACTCTGGCCTCTATATAGGGCCATCAAGAGAATGGGAACTTCTAAAACCATTGGCTCTGGTAGTAAACTGGGCACATTAAGTGTTATATAAAAGGGCTCAATGGAAATGGAAGTTGGTCTGTGATTATGTGAGAAAAGTGAGCATTGGAGGTGCTATGAATCTCACTTGCCAAAACACTAACCGCAAAGGGGAAAATGCCCACCCATAATATTGTAAACTATGAATTTATCAATTATACATACCCTCTGTTTAATAACCCATCCATTGTACATTCCAACTAGCACACACCATAAAAGTAATAAATATTGGCTAGGGAATTCCTCAAAGCTGCTACTCCCTTGCAGAGAGGAGGTATGTGTATTTAGAAAGAGCTGAGGGCTGATTCTACATGGATCTGGATTGAAAATGTGGAACCGGAGGGATGTTTTAATCCATCCAGACTCTCTGACATTTAGCACCTTGCTCAGCTGTGCCAGTGCTTTCCTTCTACTGAATGTACTCACTGGTGAAGTCATTTGAATCAGGGATCAATCAACACTTACTCCTTTACAAATGGACACTGCTTCTTTGGACATTGATTTGGGGTAAGTTACATTATGCTCCATGATAGATTGGAAAAGTTCATCTTCATCTTCACCATCGAAAGGAGGCTGGAGGAGAAGAGAAAAGGGACAATAATTAGAATTTGTGACAATAGTGAAAAGACCAGGAATGGAGAAACATAGCCCAGACATGCATGCACACATACAGATCCAGGCACACACACAGACCCAGATACAACTGATACACAAACACAGATCTATATATGTACCTTCCAGCTCTTTGATATCTTTGTTTAACTCAGAAGCAAGTGATATAAAAGAATTTTTGTTCCACTCAGCAGTCTCAGCTCCCTCTCTCCATTTCACTGTCATAAATATTTGCTACAATCATTCAAAGCTTTAAGACTTAAATCTGTAAACCATTACCTGTCCAGCAAGCATTTCATACAGCAACACTCCATACGCCCACCAATCCACAGATTTTCCATATGGCTGGTAGGCAATTATCTAGAAAGACAGAAATAATTTTAATGGTTTGTCAGGTGCTGCAATGACTGAACAGAACCAACAGCAATTTAAAATACATCAGGAGTATCTGTCTGTTTTCCAACAAACTGTGCCACTCAGTGCCAAGACTAGGATTAGAGCTGCAGATGTGTCAGGGCAAGGTTATAGGATGTCACATCAAACAGGACAGCGGTCACTGATGTGACCACAACTATAGAACCATTTCCAGCATTAACAAGTTAAACAAGAACTGACTGATAATATAGCTGCAATCTCCATCTTTTTCCTTTCCGGGTATGACTTTGTGAGGTAATGGTCTTGCAGCAGATTGGAATTCAACAGAGAGAAACTGTGATATGAGAGATTAAAAAAAAGACACTGTGTGTCAGTGGAAATCTGCCAGGCAATGGCTGGAAGCCTCATGTAGGCTGGTTAAGGCTGCATTTGTTCCACCGTGATAAGGACAATTTCCAAACACAACACAGTCCAGGCCCCAGGCTCCATCATCTGCTGCTCCTGATCAGCAGAAATTGAGTTTGCAGCTACAGCAGAAAAAAAGTCCTCTGTTACAGACAGAGCCAGCAGCTCACAGCCAGCAGACTCCATTGTCCATTGAATAGTCTCATGTTAGTTGTCTTTTACAGAGTATAAGAAACATAAGAAAGGGAGTGCAGCAAAGATAGAGTGGGCAAAGGAAGAGAAATAGAAGAAGAGCATACACATTAGACCCACAGCAAGTGCATAAAACAGTTACAGAGAATGTGCAGGGGGAGGGAAAGTGGAGAGTGCAGGAAGAAGGGAGAGTGTAGTGAGAGGGAGACAGTGGACACAAAGGAGGGAGCAAAGAAAGAGAGAGAAGACTTGGAGTCTGCACACTGAGCCGTGCCAACTTGCCCCTTAACTCTTTGGACTTTGGTACAGGTTGCGAATCAGGTCTCTCATGAAACACCACATTGAGCAAACAAATTGTACAGGCATATCTTTCCCATTAGCTTGGTTTGAAAACCGATACGCTTCCTTGTGTTCCCATCTTCTCAAACTCAATCTACCTCTGAAAATGCAGAGTGTTTTAGATATTGCAAGCTCAAGAACATCAAATCTATGCACCTCTTCTGAACACTACCGGACAAAGCCTGAAATAAGACCACAAAATAAATATCAGAACTCATTTGTCAGATTAATAGCCAAACGAAACATAATCTGCGACAGGGCATTGGCAATTTAGCTGAAACTTGGTATATAAGTGACTAAGAACGATTCTGGTGGACAGCTCCTTATTCTAGATATTGCACTTGGCTACATGATAAACAAACACCATCTGACCATTCCCCCCACCTCACCACGTCCCCAATTATGGGTCACCGAATTAACACCTTCTGCTCATGTTTGGACAGATACTAACACTGTCAGTAAGATCTCAGCCAAGAAAACCAGGAGACTCAGTATTGGCTCCCCATGCACATTCAGGGTAGGGGTAATATAGATTCACAGTCACTCTACCCTCAAAGCTGCTGAGGCAGGGGATTCAACTAAGAATTTCAAATTGAAATTGATACACTTTTATTGTAAAGTAAGGCAATTAAGGAATATAGAGCCGAAGTGTTTAAACAAAGTCAAGATACTGATCAATCATGATCTGAAGGAATGTCAATACAGGCTCCAGGACTTGAATGGCATACTCTCATACCTAAGTAAGCCTGCTAATAACTGTTATAATCTTCATATTGTTCCCATTCAGGAGTCAGCACATTTTCAAAGCTGGTGTGACTCCAAGGGAAAGGTAAAAGTGAAGTTAAGCCATACCTCAGGTGCAATGTAGTCAGGTGTACCACAGAAGGTTTTGGTTGTTACCCCTTCCCACATATTCTCCTTGCACATGCCGAAGTCAGCTATTTTTATGTGTCCTTCTGAATCCAGCATCACATTATCCAACTTCAGGTCTCTGTTAGGGAGATTAACAGCAGTTTACAGTTGAATAGTCACCCTGCATTTACATTACTTGTATTGAGAGATCTCACATACATAGAGCTACAGTTCTGACACTGCCAGATGCCCCAGACCTGTTCCCTGGGTTGAGGTTCTTTGGAGATAACAGTGGGGGTTCTGCAAGGAACCTAACAGCTAAGAAGGAGCCTACCGTTGTCCGGGCACAAAGTCCTGATGATACAGTGGTGGGCTTATCACTTGAGTGGTCCTGGCACTCAGCCTTGAGGGAGACACAGGACTCAAAGGCAGGGTTGGTACAGAGGGAGAGGAGGCTGCTGTAAGGCCATCTCCTCCCATGACAGGACTTCAGCTTTGTTAATATTATTTCTTGAGGGCTGCTCTCATCTTTCGCATGTGAGATGGGGGTTACAGAGGGGAATGAAGAACAGCTGGCAGGAACCTAGGCCTATTACCATTTCTTTGCCACAGGCACAGAATGGTGCTGCCATCTGCAGTTCTGGTTGGTATAAAAATGCAGGCCAGATATCAAGGCCAAATCTCACTCTCTGTATGATATTGTAACAAATTACGGAGATGACTCAAGCTGCTATAAACAAGATTTCAATGACTTCTCCAGAAAGGGCTGTGGGATTGCCCGATGCGTGGAATATGGAGCAGTGATAGCCATGAATGATTTGCCTTGCAGCAACCAAGTGACAGAGGAATAAGGACCTGCACAGGCCAAGGGTAGACTAATGGCGGTTAGGACTGAACTAAGCAGCAGGAAATACAGAGATGGAGGAGCAGCTGGGTGACTGCAGGAAATAAAAGCATCTGCGGTAAAAACTCCTCTCGGAGTGTGGGACTGGGAGAGGGTGAATGCAGAGGATGACAAGCTATCTGAAAAAGTGGGAACAGTCAAAGGGTATCAGTGTGGGGGTAGAGTCGGGCTCATATACGGTCTTAAAGATCAAGGATTCCCGGAGTAGAAGGAATGACGTGTGAGAAGCTAGAAATGAAAGTTAATATACAAACATATAAATCAAAATTCAAAAGCAAGGATGATGATGCAAAGACAATAAACAGCCGTAACGTAACAACATGACATTGAATTAAGCAGGATCCGTAATAAATATGGAAAGAGGAATTCATGTCCGGGTACATCGACACAGAAAGTGTAACAAAATATGGTAACAGGAAGTCAAATAATGCAGAAAGGAAGTACGTGTTGACATTAGATTATGAATGCAATATTATGCCCCAGAATTTGTGATGTGAATAACGGTGAAACCATCAAAGTTCATATTTTCTTTATACTTCTCAAGATGTGAAGTTTGTTGGTAAGGCCAGCAATTATTGCCCATCCCTAATTAAGAAGGCAGCAGGGAGCCATCTCCTTGAACTGCTGCAGTTCTTGGGCTATTGGTACAGCCACAGTGCTGGTAGAAAGTTCTAGAACTTTGACCCAGCAACAGTGAAGGAATGGCAATGTAATCCCAAAACAAATGGCTCTGTGATGGCAGTGTTCCCATGCAGCAGCTGCCCTTGTCCTGTTAATTTGGCAGAGGTCATGCATATGGAAGGTGTTGTGAAATGAACTCTGGCAAGTTGCTGCACTGCATCTTGTATGGCACGTACTCTGCCATTGTGCCTTTGTTTGCAAGTGGTGGAGGGAGACAAACAGCAAGTCCTGCTCACCTATTACCTGTGAGGTCATGAGCTTGCGCTGGCTCCCTCTCAAGCAATTCTTGACATAAAAATTTTCATCTTTTGTTTTCAAATCGATGAAGGGTCTTACCCTTCTATATCTTTCATTTTCTCCAGTCACAAAACCCTCTAAGACATCTCCACTCTTTCTGATGCACTTTTCTTGTGCCAAAATTTTAATTGTTTTATTAACTTTTAATTGTTTCTTCAGTGGTGGCTGCGCATTCAGTTGCCTAGGGTCCAAACCGAGGAATAGCTTCCCTAGGCCTCTCCTCCTCACTTTCATTTTTTAAGATACTTCAAAACCTCTTTGACCAAGGATTTGGCCATCTGATCTAATGTCTCCTTATGGGGAATAAATGTCATCGCTTGCTTCATAAAACTGCTCTGAAGCCTCTTAGGACTTCTTACCATGTTAAAGCTATTATTTAATTTAAGTATTTATTATTTTGTTGAATGAATGCTTAAAATGGTGAACAAGATATCAATCAGGTCAGGCATTATGTCCTGGGCGTTTTAAAAAAAATTCTGATGGGGTGTGAGCATTGCTGGTTGGATGAACATTTATTGTCCACACTGAATGGAACTTGAAGAGGTGCTGGTGAGCTACCTTCCTGAACCACTGCTGCCTGCGCAGTGTAGGGAAACCCACAGGAAGCGAACTTCAGGTTTTTATCCAGCAACAGTGAGGGAACAGATATAGTTCCAAGTCAGTGTGTGACTTGGTGGGAATCTTGCAGATAGCGATGCTCTCAAGCCCTTGTCCTTATGGATGGTAGAGGGCGCGTCGATGTCAAAGAATGCTTATAAAGCTGCTGCAGTGCACCTTGTAAGTGATATCATTGCTGCCACTGTGCGTCAGTGATGAATTAAGGTGGGCAGTGAGGTGCCAGTCAAGTGGAGTGTTGAGTTTCACTTATCCTGACAAATGGAGAGTGGGGAGTTAGGAGGTGAGTTACTTGTTTTTGAATTCCCAGCACCTGCTCTAGTAGCCCCAGTGTTTATATGGCGGGATCAGTTCAGTTTCTGGTCAATGATATCCCCCAGGATATTGATAATTGGGGTTCAGCGATGGCAACGCTATTGAATGCCAAAGGGAGATGGCTAATTTCAAACTTGTTGGAGATAATTACTGCCTGACACTTAAGTCTGTTACTTGCAATATATCAGCCAAAACCTGAATGTCATCCAGCTACTGCTACATATTTACATGAACTGCTTCAGTTTCAGCAGGATCACAAATGGTGCTGAACACGGTACAAACATCTCCACTTTTGACCTTACGATGGAGGGAAGGTCATTGATGCATAAGCAGAAGATGACTGGGCCTAGGATATCAGTCAGAGGATCTCCTGCAGTGATATCTTATGGCTGAGATGATTGACCTCCAACAACTACAATCACCTAACTTTATGCTAGGTATAACCCTGGCTGGTGGAGAGCTATCTCTCTAATCACATTGACTTAAATCGGTAGGGATCCTTGAAGCCATGCTCAGTCAAAAGCTGTCTTGATATCAAGCGCAACTGCTCTCATCTCACACCTTGTGTTTATGCTTAAAGCAATGTGTAATGAGGTCAGGAGCCAGCTGACTCTGGCAGAACTCAAAATGAATGTCAGGGGCAGATTAATGCTGTATACGTGCCTCTTGGTGGCACTTCCAATGACACTTTCCATTACTTTACTGATGATCAAGTGTAGGTTCATAAGGTAGTAATTGGCCAGGTTGGATTTGTTGACTTTTTGTGGTCAAATAATTATTCAGGCAATGTCAGGTATATGCCAGTATTGCAGTTGCACTGGAACAGCCTGATTTGGGGCACTTCCAATTCTGGAGTCTAAATCTTCAGATCTATGTTACTTGTTGCCAAGGCCCATTGCCTTTGCTGTATCCAGGGCTTTCAGCTATTTATTGATAGAACGTACAGCGAATAGAACTGGTTGAAGGTAACACAGTGTGGAGCTGGAGGAGCACAGCAGGCCAAGCAGCATCAGAGGAGCAGGAAAGTGGATGTTTCAGAAGAAGGGTCCCGACCCGAAACATCAACTTTCCCTCTCCTCTGATGCTGCCTGGCCTGCTGTGTTCCTCCAGCACCACACTGTGTTATCTCTGACTCCAGCATCGGCAGTTCTCACTATCTCTACAATCGGTTGAAAACTGGTATCTGCAATGTTGGGGACTTGAGGATGAGGCTAAATTGGAGCATCTACCTGGCAATTCCTGATGAAGCTAGCTGTAAATGGCTTCAGCCTTGTCTCTTATACTCACATGGTGGACACCCCATCATTAATGTGAAAATATTTATGGAACTTACTCCAAAGTTAATTGTTTAATTATCTACCAACATACATGACTGCATATGGCAGGACAGCAGAGTAATCTCAACCATTGCTTAAGGGATGACTTAGCAATGAAATCTGAGCAATGTCTGGAGTATGCACTTGAACAGTTAAACATACATATTGCAGATATTAATTTCAGAGATGCCCTATTTGGAAAGGTTGCCCAGGCAAGGCTTGTTTCCGCTGGAATCTAGAAGAGTAAGAGGTGACTTCATGACATAAAAAGGTTCTTGTGGGATCTTGACAGGTTGGATGTGGAGAGGATGTTTCCTTTTCTATGCCAATCAAGAAGAAGGGAATGATTGTTTAAAAATAAGGAATTACCCATTTAAAACAGAAGTTAGGTAGAGGTTTTCTCTCGGGGTGTCATGAGTCTTTGGTACTCTTTCCAAAAGTGGCTTCCACCACTTTTCAAAAAAAATGTTTTTGAGTATTTCAAAGTCAGCAGAGGATCGATTCTTGTTAAGCAAGGGATGTGGAGGTGAAAGGTTAATGGGGTAGCCAGGAATGTGCATTTGGGCTTAGAATTAGATCACCTATGACCTTATTAAGTGGTGACGCAGTCTCAAGGGACTGAATGGCCTACTACTTGTTCACATTCAAAGTTTTGGTAAAGATCTGTAGCTCGGTTTGTGGGTGAGGTTGTTGACTTGCTGTCCGAGCTGGCTTGTTCTCGTTCAGACGTTGCTTCGCCATGCTAGGTGACATCATCAGTGGAACCTCCGATGAAGTGATGTTGTTCTACTCTGCTTGGAATTTATACTGTCCGGTCCGTTATAGTGAGTAGTGTCATTTCTGGTTTTGTTCTGTATGGGTTTGTATATGGGGTCCAATTCTATTTGTTTGTTGATTGCATTATGGCTGGAGAACCATGCCTCTAGGAATTCCCGTGTGTGTCTATGTTTGGCTTGGGCTGCTATCGTTACCTTGACCCAGTTAAATTGATGGCCTTCATTGTTTGAGTGTACTGATATTAAGGAGAGGTTGTCGTGTCATTTTGCAGCTAGCTGATGTTCATGTATTTTGATGGCTAGTCTCCTTCCTGTCTGTTTGATGTAATGTTTGTGGCAGTTGTTGCATGGTATTTTGTAACCACGTTGATTCTGCATGTTGTGGGAATGGGTCTTTAATCCTTGTGAGTGTTTGTCGTAGAGTGGCTGTGGGCATGTGGGCCAACATGATTCCTAGTGGTCTTAGGAGTCTTGTTGTCAGTTCTAATATGTTCTTGATGTACGGCAGTGTGGCCAGTGTGTTAGGGCATACTGTGTCCTCCTGTTGTTGTCCGTTTAGTAGGCATCAGTGGATGAAGTTGCGGGGGTATCCGTTTATAGCGAGGATCTTGTATAAGTGTTCTTCCTCTTTCCTGTGTAGTTCCGGGGTGTTGCAGTGTGTCCTGGCCTGTTTAAATAGTATCCTAATGCAGCTTTCCTCGATACCCTCAAGAACATAAAAATCAATGATGACGAAATTATGGTATCCTTTGACGTCACAGCCTTATTAACATCAATCGACATCCCAGTCGGCAAAGAAACACTGGCCACATTACTAGAGGAAGCAGCAACACAGACCAGCAGCTCCATCAGCAATGACAACATACTCAAACTACTAGACCTCTGCTTCACCACACACTTTATCTTTAATGGTCAAGTATACAAACAGATCAACAGTACACCGATGGGGTCACCCATCTCAGGACTCATTGCAGAAGCAGTCAAGCAAAGACTAGAACACACCATCCTCCCCCACATTCAACCTAAACTGTGGATCCGGTATGTAGATGACACATTTGTCATTATTAAACGCAACAAATTAGGAGACCCACCACCTCATCAACAGTGTATTCACAGGGATTAAATTCACAAGGAAAGAAGAAAACAACAATCAACTTCCGTTTCTGGATGTTAAAATTGAGCGTATGACCAACGGAGAGTTCCAAACCTCAGTATACAGAAAAGCAACCCACACTGATTAAATCCTCAACTTCCACAGCAACCACTCCAACGTCCACAAACAAAGCTGCATTAGGACACTATTTAAATGGGCCAGGACACACTGCAACACCCTGGAACTGCACAGGAAAGAGGAAGAACACCTATACAAAATCCTCGCTAAAAATGGATATCCCCATAACTTCATCTGCAGATGCCTACTAAACAGACATCAACAGGAGGACACAGTACGCCCTAACACACTGGCCACACTGCCGTACATCAAGAACATATTGGAACTGACAACGAGGAATCATGGTGGCCCACAAGCCCACAGCCACTCTATGACAAACACTTACAAGGATTAAAGACCCCATTCCCACAACCTGCAGGATCAACGTGGTTTACAAAATACCATGCAACGACTGCCACAAACATTACATTGGACAGACAGGAAGGAACCTAACCATCAGAATACACGAACATCAACTAGCAGCAAAATAGCACGACGAACCCTCCTTAATGTTGGTAGACAATGAAGGCCATCAGTTTAACTGGGACAATGTAACCATAGCAGCCCAAGCCAAACATAGACATGCACGGGAATTCCTAGAGGCATGGTTCTCCACCCGTAATGCAATCAACAAACATATAGAATTGGACCCCAT